GATAAATCCAAAGACTCCAGTGTGAGGGACTGTCTATGTTGGCAACTACCAGGTGGGCTCCGTGGCAAGATTAGGGTAAGATCTGGGTATTTGGAAATCGAGGCAGGGGCTGTGGTAGGCAGAGTTGTGGTGAACTGGGATGGGCTGGGTACGGAGAAGCCCTGAGGCAGTGGGCAGTGCTATGTGAGATAAGCTGGGTGCAAGGAAGCAGCCGGAGCTTGTGCTCCTGAGGCAAGGGGCGGTGCCACGTGGGAGTGGGACGGCAGAGGAAGAATTCCCTTTGCTTAGTCCCCTCCCTATATGCAACGTCAACCCCAGACGCCTCCTTCCTATGACCTTCCTGACTTCCTGCGTCCCTTTGTGTAGCACTGACCCCAGACGCCTCCTTCCTGACTTCCTAGGTCACGTACTCTGTCTATGCACTAATCCCAGACACCTCCTTCCTGTATCCGGTCCTAGCCTCCTACGTCACTCCCTCTCCCTTGGTGTGCTAAACTCAGACAGCCCCTTCTGGTATCTGACCCTACAATCATTGGCTAGTAAGCGGGCTGGGGAGGAGGGGCTAGTAGGTACTTAGGAACGAGCGTGGTCAGATCACACTCTCTCTCTTGGCTCCTGTTCTGTTGCTCTGGCCTTCCTGCTTGGCCTTGCTGTGATGGCCTCTGAATAAAGCTCTGGTGTTGGCGCCTCCCGATGGCTTGTCTCTGTGTGTTTATCCGGTTGAGGACCGAAGACTTGTGAGTGAGTATGACTCTGGCATCCTGCTCCTTATAGGAGGAGTGTCCGGCGCGGCAGGCATAAGGTCAGCGCGGCCGGTACACTCCAGCTTCTGGGATAAGAAATCACTATTTAGCAAAAACTGCTGGGAAAACTGGAAAAATGTATGGCAGAAACTGGGCATAGACCAACATCTTACACCCGATACCAAGATAAAGTCAAAATGGTTACACAATTTAGATTTAAAGATTGATACTAGAAGAGCAAGGAATAGTTTACCTTTCAGATCTATGGAGAAGAGAAGAATTTATGACCATACAAGAGATAGAGAACATTATGAAATGCAAAATGGACAATTTTGATTACATTAAATTGAAAAGTTTTTTCCCAAACAAAACCAATGCATCCAAGATTAGGAGAAAAGTAGAAAACTGGGAAACAATTTTTACAATCAGTGTCTCTGATACGGGCTTCATTTCTAAAATACATAGAGAACTTAGTCAAATTTCTAAGAATACAAGTCATTCCTCAATTGACAAATGGTAAAAGGATATGAACAGGCATTTCTCTCAGAGGAAGAAACTAAAGCTATCCATAGTTATATGAAAAAATGTTCTAAATCACTATTGATTAGAGAAATGCAAATCAAAATGACTCTGAGGTACCACATCACATACATCAGATTGGCTAACATGACAAAACAGGACAATAATAAATGTTGGAGAAGATGTGGGAAAATTGGAACACTAATACATTGTTGGTGGAGTTGTGAAATGATCCAATCATTTTGGAGGGCAGTTTGGAATTATGCCCAAAGGGCTATAAAATTGTGCATACCCTTTGACCCAGCAATACAACTTCTAGGTCTGTCTCCAAAGAAATTTTGAAATTGGGAAAAGGACCCACATGGACAAAAATATTTATAGCTGCTCTTTTTGTGGTGGCAAAGAATTGGAAATCAAGGGGATGTCCATCAATTGGGGAATGACTGAACAAGTTGTGGTAAATGAATGTAATGGAATACTATTGTGCTATAAGAAATGATGAGTAGGCAGACTTCAAAAAAACCTGGAAAAACACATGAAGTGATGCAGAGTGAAATGAGCAGAAGCAGGAGAACATTGCACACAATAGCAGTCACATTATGGGATGACTGACTTTGATAGACTTGGCTCTTCACAGCAATGCAAGGATCTAAAACAACTCCAAAAGACTCATGATGGAAATTGCTGTTCACACACAGAGAAAGAACCATGGAGTCTGAATACATATGGAAGCATACTATTTGCTCTCCTTTTCCTTTGTTGTTTTGTTTTATTGCTTCATTCTCGTGGTTCCTCCCATTAGTTCTAATTGTTCTTTACATCATGACTAATGGGAAAATATGCTTAATATGAATGTATAAGTAGAGCCTGTATCAGATTGCATGCCATCTTGGGGGAGTGGGAGAAAATTTAAAACTCAAAATCTTATGGAAGTGACTGTTGAAAACTAAATATAAATAAAGTAAATAAAAATAGAATACAGGCAGCAAATTGTTGTTCATCCTTCATTTTCAAAGAAGACCAATGATATCATGGGTGATGTCTTGACTTGTTTGTGAATTGTATTAAAGTGAGACAGAGTTACACAAAGTCATTAGCCTCCCTCTCTCTTTCTGAGTTATCCAAGTCCAGTGGCAGGACAAAAGTCAGGATGACCAGTGGCGACTCAGGATGCAGTAGATAACTTTGGCATCTTTGATGTCTCACCAGACTCTAAGTGCTCCACAGTGCCTGTTCAGCTGCCTTCATGGCTATTAGAACAAGTTGTTCTCATCTGCTTATTCCACCAGGGGATGGAAGTCTTCACATGCTTAGGGTAGATATCACCCTAACTTACCAATATGTTTGAGACCTGTTGGTTACCCTTAACCTGGGTTAGCCTGCATGATGTAGCACATGCTCCAGCTTCTTGAAGCCATAGGTGAGAACTGGATGAATCAGGTGGACACCAAATGTGAATGAGCAGCCCCGAGGGGACTCAGCAACCCTCACACCAGAGGTTCTAGTCCTCCTGAACACCCTATATACTCCAGCAGCAAATAAACAAGATTTAAAGAAAGCAGGAAACTCTTGTGCGTAAAAGATGCAGGTTAGTCAGGCAACTATGAGGCAGAAAGGTGAAGGGAAGAAGTGGAGAATGGTAAAGCAGAATTGGTAATAATGGAGAGTAACAGAGTGCTTTTCTCCCTCCTTTTCCTTCCTCCAGAGCTGCATACTGAATATTTCCAAATAGATTTTCTATGCTTATGACTGTTATTGCACTTCTGTTTTAAAATAAAAGCTCAAATGAAAATATAATTAGTAAAAAATGAGCCATAATAAAAGATTTATGGATCTTTGAATTCTTGGTGTGTGTTTTTCTTTGCTGAAACCCTTTCCAAGTCTCATAACTTCTGGTATGGAGGGCTATACATTACTTATTATTATAACCTTGAGATGTTTCTTGATGCTGGACTTCTTGGGCTTTTTTTTGTATCTTGGATGCCTTTGGCATCCTGGTGAAGCCTCTGGACCCCATACCCAGAATAATGTTTTTACATGCATAAAATAAAATATACAGGATTACAAATGAAATTAATTATGTTGAAATACAGTTATAAAAGTTCCAAGTCCAAACACTAAAAGGTCCAAGAACCCCTTAAAATCTATCCATGGTCCCCTTTGGGGTCTGTGGACTCCAAGATAACAAGTCCTAATGCTTCTGTGGGTCATCTCCACTGTCAAGAAACCCAGCAGAATGAGGCTAATTGATTCATCTTCTCCCACTTTAATATTCTTCCTTACAGAGACCTATCATGTCTCTCAAGGCAAGTCTCTGTGTGTGCCAGGCCAGCAGAGGAGACTTTCCACAACAGTGTGACTTTCCTCTCAATGAAAGATAAGAGGCATGTAGGGATTGGGTTTGCACCTTGTGGGCTGGTCCTTCTTTACAAGGGGCTCTTTGTGATGAGATCTGAATTGGGCTCATTATCTCTGGAAGCTACTTGTCTGCTCTGAAGACAGGAGCCTAGGGGGCAGGATGTCACTCATAGCAACTTTGCTTTGCTATAGCAGTAGGGGCTTCATGTCTGTGAGCTCACAGATCCTCATCCTCATCCTGACTTCCTGAGTTCTGGATTCCTGACTTGATCTTGAAATATACTTCAGCTGTCCCAGCTCAGTATCACATAGTGATTTGGAAAGCAAGACATATCTGGGTTTGAATTTAGGATCTGACGATTACCAGCTGTGTCATTTTAGGCAAGTCCTTTCTCCCTGTGCCTCTGGCTCTTCCTCAGTAAAATAGGGATGCCAATCCTTTCACTCCCTAACTCACAATAAGTAGAGAAAGCACCCTTTGATTCTTAAAATCCTGGATAAACATAATTCATTAAGTAGGCTTTGTATAGTCTTGGCTTTGAGAGTCAAAGGTAAAAATAAGAGGAAGAGGTCCTCACTCCCTCCTGTGGCTCCCACCCTTGGAATGTGAGCATTACCGATGGGTCCAGACACTCCCTTTCTCCTCCCACAAGTCAATTCATTATTCTCTACTCAGCATGTTCAAATCTACCCCAGCAGATAGCCATCTCTATATATGTATGGAATCAGTGGAAGAAGACTGGCCTTTTACCAGGCTACAATAGTGACTGACTTAAGGTTAAAAACAAGACAGAACAAAGATACCCCAAATCTGGATGGATCCATCTTTGAACAACAGCAGCAGCAATAACTTCTTTTGGGCTGTTTATTTAAAAATTGGGCAGGTAGGTGGTGTAGTGGTTAGAGCACTGGGCCTGAAGTTAGGAGGACTCATCTTCCTAAGTTCAAATCTGGCCTCAGACACTTAAAAGCTGTGTAAACTTGAGCAGTCACTTAACCCTGTTTGCCTCAGTTTCTCATCTGTAAATTTAGCTGGAGAAGGAAATGGCAAACAACTCCCATATCTTTGCCAAGAAAACCCCATATGGAGTAATGGAGAGTGAGACATGACTGAACAATAACAACAAGGAACTTAAAAATTAATACATCAATAGAATTTTTTCTCTTATCATTCTTGATCCTCTACTTGGTATCCAGATTTAATGACAATTTGTTCAGCCTGTACAGTATACCATGCTCAGTCACCATTCCCCTCTTTTGCAATCTCCAACTTAAAGAAAATGAAAACACACACATACCTCCAAAGATGTTGTAATTGATCATCATTTTATTTATGTATATATATGTATATATGTATATAATGTATATAATAAGACAGTTTTATGGTATAATTAAATCAGGACTTAGCAAACATGAAGAACAGGAAAAAATTTGGAGTGAATGTCTACTGTGGTGGCCAGGTGGAAGGCATGAGGTTGGGAGAGTTAAGGCACTTTGTCATCTTTATCTGATCCCCCAGAAAGAACGTTTCAACAAAGCTAAGTCCATTCTAGCTGCATCCCTCCTTGGAGGTACAGGAAGGGACTGGTACAGCAGAGACCATTACTGGAATGCTAGCCACCTATCCAGCTTCAAGTCCACAGCCTTCATTGGATGTCCTTACTCCTGATGAAAGTTTCTTGATTTTCATCCCCAACCCCAAGTGGAGTAACAACCCACACATGGCTTGCTCTCCTTCTGAACTGAACTTTTTTTTGACTCTCATTCAGTCTGGTAGGGAGGGAATGAGTCCAACCCCCACCCCTGCCTACTCCTACCCTGGTGTCATTGCAATGGCAATCCAGTAGATTCCAGCAACTCTCCTTCCCACCACACATCTCTGAGAGACACCACCAGTTCTAGGTGTTTCACTGTCTTGAAAAGCCCTACCTGGACTCCCACCCTAAAAACCATGCCTGTTCTTGTCATGTCACATTTGATTATCTGGTTTTTGGATTATTGGTGTTGAAATTCCCACTCCCTGAGTATTTTTTTTTCAGCACTGGAGGACCCCCTAGCCTTGGTCTATTGCTGTGAGAATTCAGAGAACCCAGGTTCATCATCATCATTAATAGTGGTTTGAGCAGGAAAAAAGAAATTAGGAAGGCATGGCCCCAGAAACCCTCAGCCCCTCAGCCATTGCCCAGATCTAGGATTATATAATTCACTCCAAAACCACAGAGAAAAGGATTGAAGCCTTCTGCCTACTCCATCCACCAAGACTATAGCTGAAGATCATGATATCAAGCACCATAGGACAGCTGGGCTAATGAAGTGGCTTCACATACAGATTAATCCCATTCTTGGAACTGAGGGTCAATTGGGAAGAGAAGATGGGAGGCTTTTCAAGATCTGGAAATAGCTCAAAGCGGAGCAATATCAGGGCCAGTCCCATCTTCATTACAATCATGGAAAAGTGCTGCCCAATGCAGTTCCTGGGATAGGGAAGGAAAGAAGAGAAAACAAAATATGAACATGTTTTGTTGCTCCTTTCCCTTTAATCACTCTGCCTTTGGAATCTTAAGTGTTTGGGGAGAAAGACTAAAATGCCTTCAGGTTTCAAAGGTTTAGGATTTAGTTCAAAGGATTTAAGTCAAAAGATTTAGGAAAGAAACACCGAGCCCACCTACCCCCGCCTTATTTTACAGAAAAGTAAACCAAGGACCAGAAGGTACCAAATAATCCCGGGGTCAGGTCAGGAACCCAGGAAGGACCATTCCAGAACTTCAGATTTGGAAAGGATTCAGGAGGCCATCTAATCCAGCCATGCCAGGGTCAGAATCTCCATATCGACAACATGTTCCAACAAGTGGCTATGGAGTCTTTCAATCACTTTTGGGGAGGAGACATGCCCTGTGCCCTTCCCACTTCAGGACAGCTGTACTCATCGGGGAGGTTTTTCTTTTTTCTTACTGCTCACCCAAATTTGCCTCTTTGTATTCCTTCTCCCCCCCCCACCCCAAAGCTCCTAGTTGTGGTGTCTGGGGTCAAGTTGAATAAGTCTAATGCATCTTCCACAAGATGGCAGCTAGGTAACTCACTGGATAGCATCCTAGGCTTGAAATCAGGATGTCTCATCTTCATGAATTCAAATTTGTCCTCAGATATTTACTAGCTATGTGATCCTGGGTAAGTCATTTTACCCTGTTTGCCTCAGTTTCCTCATTTGTAAAATGAGTTGGAGAAGGAGGTGGCAAACCTCTCCACTCCTTGCCAAGAAAACTCCAAATGGGGTCACAAGGTAGGACAAGATTTCAGATAGGAAATGACTGAACAACCACATATTCCGCAAGAAATCCCTTCCGATACTTGAAGACATCTAAACATTCCGCCTCCCCCCAACCCCTAAGTCTTTACTTCCTCAGGTTAAACATCACTAGTTTATTATTCAGTTAATCTTCACATCCAACATGACCATGAGACATTTCACCATCCTGCTTTTCCTTTCTTAGACACGTCTGTCTTATCAATGTTTTTCTGAAACCGCGATGTCCAGAATTAAACATAATCTTCCACATATAGGTTGGCCAGGCAGAGTAATGTGGGACTATTCTCTGCCTAGTGCAGGACGATCTTCCACTCCTCAGCAGGCTCCCTTTCCAGACACTTCACAACACTCTTCACATACTCTCTTCTAGCCAAATTGTCTTGCTTACTGCTCCCACAACCTAACATTCTCTCTCCAGCCTACAAACCTTTGCCTAGGCACTATCCCATACTCGGAATGCACTTCCTTTGCAGCCCTAGATTGTTCAAAAGCACAACTCAGGTACCACCTGCTGTTTGTGTTTTTCACTGAGGCTGGGTGCTAGTGTTCTCCCCCTCTGGAAATTAGCTTGGGAACAGTCAATAGTCCATCACCTCAATACTATGTAAGCTCATTGAAAGCAGGGACTGCTCCTTCATGTTTTTATTGCCACAGCAGAGTGTTCTGGCTAGCTGGCATTGGAATTCACTCTTTAAATGTTTTGAATGTGTCCTAAAGTTGTGTATATTTTTGGCTATTAATTATACCTTATTGTTTAATCAGTCTGCATTTGCAGTACACTAAACCCCCAGATCATTTTCAAATGAATTGCTCTAGTCATGTCTGAACTGGTCGCACGCCGACCTTCTGCCAGCCGCGCGCCGGTACCCTCTCCTCCTATAAGGAGCAGGCTACCAGAGTCATACTCACTTCCGAGTCTTCAGTCCTCAACCGGATAAACACACAGAGACGAGCCATTGGGAGGCGCCAACACCAGAGCTTTATTCAGAGGCCATCACAGCAAGCCATCATAGCAAGCCCAAGCAGCAAGGCCAGAGCAACAGAACAGGAGCCAGGAGAGAGAGCGTGATCTGACCACGCTCGTTCCTAAATACCTACCTAGCCCCTCCTCCCCAGCCCGCTTACTAGCCAATGATTGTAGGGTCAGATACCAGAAGGGGCTGTCTGAGTTTAGCACACCAAGGGGGAGGGAGTGACGTAGGAGGCTAGGACCGGATACAGGGAGGAGGCATCTGGGATTAGCGCATAGACAGAGTACGTGACCTAGGAAGTCAGACTCAAATACTGGGAGGAGGGGTCTGGGTCAGTGCTGCACAAAGGGACCCAGGAAGTCAGAAAGGTCACAAGATGGAGGCGTCTGGGGATGACGTTGCATATAGGGAGGGGACTAAGCAAAGGGAACTCAGTCCTCTGCTGTCCCACTCCCACGTGGCACCGCCCCTTGCCTCAGGAGCTCAAGCTCCAGCTACTTCCTTGTACCCAGCTTATCTCACATAGCACTGCCCACTGCCTCAGGGCTTCTCCGTATCCAGCCCATCCCAGTTCACCACGACTTTGCCTACCACAGCCCCTTCCTCGACTTCCAAAATACTCAGATCTTACCCTACTCTGGCCACAGCACCCAACTGGCAACTGCCAACATCAGACAGTCCCTCACACATGTCTCTCCTTCCTTGGACTTGAGAAACTGATCCTCTTAAGCCAATGTAAAACTTCTTATTTCATCTTAATAGATTTGGCCCAGACTTCTAATCTTGGGGGGATATCTATTTTCTCATTCAATATGTTAGGCATCCCTCTAAATTTGGTGTGATCTGCAAATCTATTAAATACTCTATCTATCCAAGTTATTCACAAAAATGGTAAATAGCCCATGGACAAGGATAGAGTCCTGGGGGCATTCACCTACAGACTGTCTTGGTTGTTTATCATCAACTGCATTATTGGACCACTGAGTCTCAGAAGAAGAAATGGCCTCTCTCACCAGTCCTTAGATCCCATTTACTTCAGTCTCCTTGGGAAGATTTCCCCACAACCATCTCCCTTCCAATGTTTAACCCCTCCCTTTTAACTGGCTTTTCTGCTATTTATAAACATGTTCAGATTTTATTCATCTTCATTGATTCCCTCAAGCTATCATCCTATATCTCTCCTCCATTTCCCAAACTCCTTGAAAAAGGTATCAACACTCACTACCTCCACCTCCTCTCTTTGCACTCACTTCTCAACCTTTTGCAATCTGGCTTGGGATTTGATCACTCAATGGAAACTGCACTCTCCAAATTTACCAATGATTTCTTAATTGCCAGATCTGATGGTCTTTTCTCAGTCCTCATCTTTCTTGAATTTTGCAGCACTTCATAAACTGTGGGTCTCGACCAAGGCAAAACGACCAAAAATTAATTCAAAATCAAATGCGTAATGAATTGGAGGTGTTGCTGGCAGTACTTGCAGCATTCTGAACACAAAGCATGCGCACTTTGCGTTGTGCATGCCCTTAGACCATGCAACAACAATGAACACTGCCTAAATATGAAAAAGGGTCCTGAGCGGAAGAAGTTTAAGAAGCCCTGCTACAGTATCTGACACCGTTGACTAACCTTTTGACTGAATACTCTTTCCTCTGTAGGTTTACATGACACTGCTTATTTTCAGTATTCCTCTCCTCTAACTCGCTGCTACTTATCTATTTGTATCATGCCCCTAACTGGGGGCATCTTCCAGTATCCTGTCCTTAGCATTCTTCTCTTCTTTCTCTACTCTCATGGTGGCCTCATTGGCTTGGGCAGTAATTACCATCTCTATGCAGGTAACACTGAGATCCCCATAACCGCCCTAGTCTCTCTCCTAATCTTCCCTCTATTCCTATCCCTCTTGCTAAATTCTGTATTTGTGCAGCAAGCAGCATCAGCCTTCCAATCACCTAGATTTTCAACCTTGAATCTTCCTTTCCTTTGCCTTTTGTATCCAGTTGGTGGCTAAATCTTGTTGACTCTCCTTTGACATCATTCACACCATGTTCCCTTCTCTTCACTCACACAGCACCACTCTTGAGAAGGTCCTTGAGAGGAAATTTACACTTTCCTCTAGGATAAAATACAGTTTTCCTTGACTGTGCAGCCCCTGCCGCTTCATACCTGGGATACTGCAATGTCCAGCTGCTTGGCTTCCCCACTTCAAGTCTCTTCCCACAGTAATAATCCATCCTTTACTTGGCTGTCCAAGTGATCTCTGTAAAGTGAAGGTCTGACCTTTAACATGCTACCTCCCCACTCAATAAAACTCCAGTGGCTCCCTATCGCTTCCAGGATCAAATATCAAATCCTCTATTTGGCTCTTAAAGCCCTTTATAACATGATATCGCCTCCTTTCACCCTTCTACTCTTCTTATACCTTATCCCCTCCCTGAAAGTTGGCTTCCTTGCTGTTCCTCTCAACCAACACACTGTCTCTGAACTGTGGGCACTTTCATGGACTTGCCGCATTTCTGGAATTCTCTCCCTTCTCATCTCTGCTGCCTGGTTCCCCTAACCTCCTTCAGATCTTAGCTAAAATCCTATTTTTTAAACAGCAAAGACTTTTTCCTGATTCCCCATAATTCTAGTGCCTTCTCTCTGTCAATTATCTCCAATTTATCTTGCATGTATCTTGTTTGTATGTTGTTTCTCCCATTAAACTGTGAGGTCCTTGAGGGTAGAAGTCTCTCTTACCTTTCTTTGTATCCCCAGAGCTCAGCACAATGCCTGGTGCATAGTAGGTGTTTAATTAAATTTTATTGGCTGACGCAGCTCTCTATGGGATGACTGGCAAAAGTCAGGGGAATAGTTCGTGGTCAAGGAATAGAGTAGTCCCTTTTGTGAAGTTCTCATGCTCAAAAACCTCCAGTCACTCCCTGCTGTCTCTAGATAAAATATAAACTCCTCCACCTGGCATTCAAGGCTCTTCACAATTTAGTCCCAACTTTTCCAGCCTTTCCTCCACATTTCTTCCCTTCACATGTCCTGTGTCGCAGCCAAACAAGATGAATTGCTGTTCTTCAAACTTGACATTCTACTTTTTGTGTCTCTTCTTCCTGCTTTTCAGAATGGTCTTCTTTCGAAGTTTAGCTGAGATGTTATTTCCTCCATGACCCTTTGGTAAGAAGTGTTTTGTTCCCTTCCTCTAACTTTCTTTGGCTTCTCCCTGCTTTGTACTCTCATTGGAATCATAGGTGCATAGAAGAGCTGGAAGGGACCATGGAAGCTATTTAATATAATCCACACATTTTACAGATGAGGAAACTGAGACCTGCGAAGGCACAGGTAGGATTTGAAACTAGGTGCTCTGCCCATGATCTCCTATCTACATTCAGATGCCAATTCCCACCTCTAGTAGAAAGTAAACTCTTCAGGGGAAGTGATGATTTCATTTTTGTATTTGTGCTCCAGTTATAGGAGTGGGGTGGAATCATAGAATCATTGTCCTAGAACTTAAACAGACCTCAGAGGCCATTGAGTATAAACTACAGACCAAGAAAGGTTAAATGACTAGACCACAACTCCACACATCATAAGTGTTGGAGGTGGGATTTAAACCAAAGTCCCCCGACTCAATATTTTGTCCTCTTTCCACTTACTCCTCTGTCCTAATTTCCACTTCCCTCACCCCTCTACCCACCCACAGTAGAATCATTTAGGGTAAGGACTGATTCATTTTTTATCTCTACTCCAAAATACTGAGACATCTGTGAGTTGTACCTGGCACATAGCAAGCACTTAATAAATGTTTGATGAATGAATAACTGGCACAGAGAACCAAACATGTGAGTATAATCTCATAAGTAGCATGCCCTAACTATTGAAGCAAAGAGTCAATATCTTCATTTAATTCGAGGGGATAAAAACTAGGTGGGGAGATGGAGACAAAGGGAGCTTTAGGAGAGAGAGCTTTCCAAATAAAGCTTTTTGACATTTTCATCCCAGTGCCTCCATCTAATCCATTGCTGTATCCTTACCTGGGTCCAGCAGAAAATGGTAAGAAAGCATAAGAATATCTCTTATTGCAATTCTCTGGAGAGAACCTTTCAGGGTCAAAGACCTGCAATGAGACTCCCCCCCCCAATCACAATGAATATTCATCCTTGAGAAAAACACATTGCTCACAAATTCAAACCCTTATCCAAAATGCTTTTTGCACCAATTTGGGGACAAACAGAACTAGCCAGATTATTTTTATCTGTGCAGAACCCCTTAGGAAAGAGGACCCCATGTTAAGAAGAACAGGTTCAAGCTTTGTTCTTGCTTGCAAGGGAGACACAACAGTCCTCTTGCCATGGCACGTATTAGATCTTTAATTCTGATAGACTATAGCTGGGCCTCAATGAAAAGGACAGAGAGTATTTACTTGGTGGGTTTTGAAGGTTTAGATGAATGAGACAATTTAGATGGAAGGAGACTTTTCCAGACCTTACTAGTTGGCTTGGTAGGTTGCACTTGGGCACGTTCTATGATTGGGTTGTTCAGGGAAGGTCATGTTGGGCACAATTTCTCCTGATCATCCCATGGCTATATTCTCCACCAGGGGCTTCTATATTAGTTTACTTGCCATACTTCAAGGAGTTTGTATTTCATTTGTGGAGGCCCTCTGTCCCCCATGTCCATCACCCCTCCCCCATCATTTTGGAAATACAGCTGCTGAGAAAAGTCCATCACCTAACAGCCATCCTTTGGGTCACAGACCTTGCTGTTTTCCCCTTCACTAGTCCTTGGGGATAAGATCCATGTGACACCACCCATTCTCAGGCTGGTACTTAGAGGCTTCCTTGGTGGGTAGATGTGTTAGAGGTCTTTTCTCCTGGCAAAGTCTCAGAACCCTGGCAAGGCACCCCACCCCAGCTTTGGAGGACTTTAGTGAATTAAGTAGCTTCCTCCCTCTTCTACTACAACCAACCCAACAAATTCCATGGAACAGACATGGAAGAGGTGTGCCCCAGTGAGATTTCAACAAAATCCGAACTTCTGCAGGGGCTAAAAGACAAAGACAATGAAACAATGAAGGGGAAAAAACAATGAAGGGGAAATCCTGTCAATCAAAAATGAACATTCTCCACACTAGAAAGGTAGCACCTCAATTGATTCCAAAGAGACAGACAAGATGAACTTGCCTCCATGGCATAGATGTCATTCATACCTTTGTCCTTAGCAAACGTTCCAAAGGAACACTAGAGGGGAAAATGTCTGAACTCAAATTAATCATCCTAAGGCACGGGTGGGGAACCTTTGACCTGGAGGCCACATGTAGCCTCAAGGCTTCAGGTTCCCCACCCCTGTGGCCTGAGGCATCATGAATAGAGTGCTTGGACTGTAAGTCAGGAAGACTCATCTTCCTGAGTTCAAATCTGGCCTCAGACATTTACTAACTATGTGAGCCAGGGCAAGCCACCTAATCCTGTTTGCCTCAGTTTCCTCATCTGTAAAATGTGTTGGAGAAGGAAATGGCAAACCATTCCAGTATCTTTGCCAAGAAAACCTCATGACTGAAAAAAATGACTGAAAGGCATCATGGAGTGGTTTATTGAGGGATGGGGCTTTTGAGCCAAGAAGAAACTCTTGATAGGAGAGGTAAGACTTCTCCTTCCTGGAAGTGACAAAGGGAAAAATCTTCTGCTGATCTTTTTGTTTTTGTTATTTTTTTTTTTTTTTTAGGCAATTGAGGTTAAGTGACTTGCCCAGGGTCACACAGCTAGTAAGTGTCAAGTGTTTGATCTGAGGCTGGATTTGAACTCAGGTCCTCCTGACTTCAAGGCCAGTGCTCTATCCACTGTGCCACCTAGCTACCCCTTCTGCTGATCTTAAGCTAAGGACTGTTTCCCTAGCTGAAAGACCTTTGTGCCACTCTAGTTGAGTTGGGTATAGTAGCACCCAGCCAAGCCAACGGCTGAAGTAAAACAAAATACAACAACTGCTTATTGAAGAATAAGCCAAGGAGACCAGAAGATTGGCCTGCACCCAAGAGCCAAACAAATGGCCCAGCCTGGCAGTAGTGACCAGTTTCTGGTTGGCCTGGCCCTGTCCAACACCTACAAGTGACATTCTAGCTCAGCCTTGCAGCAGCAGAGACCAGTGAGGATCCAACCCAGTCACTGGGTGACCTGCCTAGCCCAATGCAGAATCGATTGGAATATCCAACCTTGATACTACCCCTAGGAGGAACAAGTCTACATGAGCCACTAGTGGAATGGAGACATTGGGCTCTATGAAGAGGCATCTCAGCTACAGAGTTTTGGGAAATGAACATTTTGGGCCATACTTGCTCTTCACCCCACCCCCAGGGAAGTACATCACTACCATTTTACCTTGTTTGTGCCCATTTTCACCCAGTCCCGGATTCTGGGCATATTTGTGGGAGAACACGGTATGGGGGAAAGGCTTTGTAATTGCTTTTCTTGCCTTACTATGTTAGGAATGCCTATACTAAAGATCAGACTGTACTGGCTGATTGTGAAGGGAAAGCCCACTGGTGGGTGCTTGCGAACTAGTGTTTAGGAGAATAGCCACCCACAAGGTTATCTCTGGAAACCCAGGAATAGTAATATACATCTTTCTGGGAATCCAACCTACCAGTGATGGTGTGAATTAGGTGAGTAAGCCCTGGGGGAGTGTTACATAGAAAGAAGTCTTTTTTCCCTTTTATATTCAATTCTCCTGACATCATTCTCTGAAACTTGATCATGATGTGGAGGTATTCCTGGGTTCTTGAAGGCTTTGCCAGTAGAGAAACAGGTGATGCTGGTTCTGCTAAGCTTTATAAGCTTTGAACATGGACCTGACAGCAGACTTTGTGTTTGTGGTCTCATGATCAGACTGGGTCAGGGTGGAGAAGTTTATCATGAGAGACTGGATTTTAGGTAGGGATTTTTTTATCAGCCCCAGCAACTCAAGAAGATCAACTGTTAGGGATGGTCATGATTTGTGCCCATGATACGTGGGAAGTACATGTTTTTAGAGTCAATTAATTAAGTAAGTAACAGAGTGAATGCCTTGTGATTGGTGTTAGTGGAGGGATGGCCCACATTGATGAAAACCACTCCATTCTTTAAAATAATTCCTAGGATCGGTGGTCAATTGGCATTAAGTGCCTACTATGCACCAGGCACTATGCTAAGTCTTGGATCATAAATTTTATTATAGATTTATAAATATAGGATACTTTAGAGGCTTTTAAGACCTCCTCCTTTATTTTATGGAAGAGAAAATGAGGTTCAGGGAGGTTAAGGGTGGGGCTTCCCCAAATTCCATGGGGTAGTCAATAGCAGAAGTAGGATTTAAATCCATATCCTCAGAACTACTTCAAGTTTATGGAAAGAGCAATGTCCAGTTGTCAAAAAGAAGGTCTGGGTACTACTGCCTCTGTCAGGAACAATCATACCTGTGGATTTTCCCAGACAGCAGGGTTGTGGTGAAGAGCCCAGATGTTCAGGACAATTATCATACCTAGAAAGGGAGGGAGGGAGACAGGGGGAGAGGGAAAGGAGGGAAGAAGAGAGAAGGAGAGAGAGAGGGAGAAAAAAGGGGAGGGAGAGACACACACAGAGAGACAGAGACAGTGAGGGGGAGAGAGAGGGAGAGGGAAAGAAAGAAGGGGAAGGACAGAGAGAGAAAGGGAGGGAGGGAGAGTGAGAAAGAGAAAAAGGAGAATTAACATTTTTTAACTACCTTGGAAACTTTGTATCTGGGGATATAAAGAAAAAAGAAAAACAGTTCTTGAAGTCATGGAACTATAACCTAGCTGTATGTGGGTGTATATATGAATAGATAGAGATAAATATATGATATGTAAAAATATCTAGCTATAGATAAATATATGGACATATAGAGGTATGTCATGGATATATAGATATAAATATATTGATATGTTTATCTATAAATATATTTAATATGTTACTATTTATAATGAAATATATTTAATGGTTTGACATATAATAATTTATAGATATATTTCATATACACCATGGGTAGATATAAAAATATGGATATAGATAGATATGAATATATGGATATAGATATGTCATAAGTACTACATGAAAGGTGATTTTGGGGGCTAGGACAGAGCATTTGGGGGACCAAGAAAGATTTTGTATAGAAAGTAGTGTTTGAGTTGAATCTTGTTGAAGCCTAGGAATTCTTACAGGTTGGAGTGAGGAGGTCTAAGGGCAGCCTGTGCAAAGACTGGGATGGGACATGTGTGACATATGTGAAGACTCCCCAGATCTGTTCCCATCCTGTGCGCACCCTTCCCCCTCACTAGATGTGTTCTCCTCCCTCCCCACCCCCCATCCCATTCTACATGTTGGTCATGTAGGACCCTCCTTCGGAGTGTGAGTGCCTGTTTTCTTCTCTTGTTACGTCATGTAGGTTTTGGGTACCTCAGATATCCTTACCGGGCCCTGCTGAATTCTGATTCTGTCAGTGCTGGTACCTCCTACACTTTGAGCTCCCTGATGGCCAGTACAGGCCCAGGCCCACGGGAGGTACTGAGTAAGTCAGAATTGATTCCAAAGGCACTTTGTGTAAGCCTGGAGAAGAGAGGGTTCAGGGTGAACAGGACCACTGTCCTCAAGTACCTGAAGGCCTCCTGTAATGTAGAAGACAAATTCAACTTTTCCTGCTTGGCTCCACAAAGAAGAACTGGGGAGGGGTAGAGGGTTGGCGAGGAGAGAGGGGAAAGAAGTGGGGTCAGGGGTGTCACACAGAGGCTAATGTAGTGTGGATATGGGTGAAAGCTTCCTCATGGTCAGATCTAAGCCAAAGTGGAAGGGCCTGGCTCTGGAGGTGGTAGGTTATCCTCCCTGGTAGCCATCAGTTAATAGCAGAAAAAAAAACACTTGGTAGAGATGTTGTAAAGAGAATTCTTGTTTGGGTCCAGGTTACACTGGTTAGCTTCTGAGGTCTCTTGTGCTTCTGGGAAGTGTCTTTTTTCTTCCCTATAATACTGGAAACTATCCACCATGCCTCTGCTACTTTGCTCCAAGTCTATATGGTGCCTTTGAAAAATCAATCCTTGATTGAACCCCCAGCATGGGCCCCAGGGCTGAGCCAGGTGTTCTCACCCAAGAAGCCCAGTGACTCACTGGCTCTGTTTCTTATGGTCCACAAGGCCATGAGTTCTAAAGGAAACTGAATTGGGTAGGTAGTCAGAGACATACCTGGAGGGAGGGAGCGTCCATCTGGGAAGGTGATGGGCTTGCTGAACTCCCTGGCTATCCTAGGGACAGGTGGGTAGAGGCGGAGGGCCTCCTTGATGCACATAGCGCTGTAGGGCATCTGGTTCAAGTGGTTCCTGTGAGGAATCACAGAGAGGAAAGAGGAGGGAAGGAAAGGCATTAACTAGAGTTTCCTATAAGGACTGGCACAATTTTAGCATGCCACACACAGATTCCCATAATCTCAGAACTGCAAGGGACTTTAGAGAATATTTAATCCAACCCACATCTGAAAAAGAATCTAGGGTGGGCTCTGGCAAATATATCTCTCTGGTTCCCCCTGATAGCAGCATTTTGACCTCAATCCCTCCTCTTCCTGACACACATTCAATCTCCCAATTTAGTCACACACACACACACACACACACACACACACACACACACACTCCCTAATGGAATCACTCATCATCCTTATGATTTTCCAAACCAACATATCCTTCCCTTATTTGTCTTGTCTCCCTCTATTAGGAGATAAGTTCCTTGACAGCTAGGATTGTCTTTTATATTTGTGTTTGGCAGATAGTAAGTGCTTAATACATTTTTCATTCACTCATTAGTTATTTTCAAATTTTTGAAGGGCTGTTGAGGTAGAAGACAGATCATATTTGTTCTGCTGGGTCCTAGAGACCAGAACCCCAGGATGGAAGTTAGAGAGATATATCTAATCTTTATTTAATGGGGGAAAAACCCAATCTCATACCAATCAGAACTCTTGAAAGGTATAATCAATTTCCTCTGGAGGACTGAATTTTCCATCACTGGAGATCTTTCGATTGTGATGACCATTAATTAGGTATGTCGTAGTTGGGTTTGGTATTTAAGAATGGTTTGTATTAGATGGGTTCTGAGGGCTCTTCCAATTATGACATTCTGTGATTCTATTATCTTCCCTCATCCTCTCTGACGAGGCAGCTAGGTGGTGAAGTGGATAGAGTTCAAGGACTCCATTAGACCTGAGTTCAAATCCAATCTTAGACACTTACTATCTGTGTGACTTTGGACAATTCACGTAATTGCTTTCTGCCTTAGTCTCCTCAGCTGCAATATGGGAACAGTAATAGCACCTACCTCTCAGGGTTGTTGTGAGGGTCAAATGAGATAGTATTTGTAAAGTCCTTAGCACAGTTCCTGGCACACAGAAGGCACTTAATAAATGCTTATTCCCTTCTCTTTCTTCCCTTTCTTTTTTTCTTCTTGTCAAGGCTCCATCCCCTCTTTTCTCCTCTAGAACTCTGCTTCATTGGTCACCCTCTCTTCCTTTCATCTCAACAGCATCTCCCCCTCTTCACTGTCCCATCTTTCTATAAACATTCTCAGGTCTCCCAAATCACTGAACTTTCTATATCAGCCAACTGCCATCTCATCTCTTTTTCTCGGCAGCCAAACTTCTGGAGGGAAAATGGCTTTCATCTGGTATATCTACCTTCCATTCCTGCAAAATTTACCACTCAAGCCTATTTTTTCTGTGTTCTATTGGTGTCTGTGGAGGTATCCTCTTGCCTTCTTTGATAACTGTGACCATTTTTCCTCCTTAGCAGTCTCTCTTTGCTTGACTTCTGGGACAACAGGCTTTCTTGGATTTTCTTCTGCCTGTCCGACTTATCCTTATTTTTGTCAGCAAGGAGCACTTGCTGGTTCTTCTCCATAGAATTTTTAAAATTTAAAAAATGTATATACTTTAGAAATATCAACAAACACAAACATTTCCATGTATAGTAAAAGATTCTATATAAAACTCTTACTCTATTATCTATGCATTTTTTGTATATATCAAATTTAACATAATAGTACCACACTTCTTAGTGTGACCTCTGAATTTCTTTCTGCTCTGTTATATGTATTGATTAGTATTTCACTGAAGCTCTTTTTTCTTTTCTTCCTTTTTTTAAATATTGTCATCACCGTCCCCTATTGTTATTTTTTTCCCCTCAAATAACAACTCTCTTGTTAACAAATGAGTATAATCAAGCCAAAATCATACATTATTCACATCTGAAAATGTAGGTCTCATTCTGGACTTCTGTCAGATTATCTCTCTGAGAAAAGGTGCAAAGCAAGCTTCATCAACCATCTCCCAGAGAATATGCTCTGCATGGCTTCACATGTATAAAAGGGCATCATATTACTTGTCTTCTCAATGGATGGGGGAGGGGTATGAAGGAGGGAGAGAATTTGAAATTCAAAATAAGAAAGGAATGTTAAAAGAAAACAGCCTTTTGGAGGCAGAGCCAAGATGTAGAAGCATCCAAAAGAAGTAGAACCTAGCTCCCCCACCAAACTTTCTCCACAAAGATCTAGAAAACACTAGATCAAATTCTGCTTGGAAGATTTAAGAAAAATCGAGAGAGTCATTTTTCCAGCATAGGTTGGCACAAGGAAACACTGAGGATGAAGTCTGGCCAAAAGCACATTGAGTGGAAAATTACAGGGTCCAGGAACTTAGACTGAGCACTAGGCCAGGAAGCACTGGGGCAGGAAGAGATCCAGGAGATACCTGGAGAAGCACAGGGTGCAAGAAGAGTGCCATTTTGGCAGCTTTGTCATCTGCTCTCTGCTTCTGAGCTGGACTGAAGGGGTCCTGGAGAGGAGCTGTCATGAGCAAACTCTAGCAATGTACTGAGCAAGGAACAAGTTGGAGAGCAAATCATAGTTTTGGGGCTCTGCTCCGAGGAAGATAGCAGGGACTCAGTTCTGCCCTTGAATTCAGGTAGGTAACATGCTGTGGAATATAACCAGACCAAGGCGGAACCTACAGTTCAGTCCCTCCGAATTTTGGTAGAGCCTCCCAGTGATCTGGGTCCAGCAACAGTCTATTAACATTCCCAAACAGAGAAATATTTCATTAAAGATCTATTTTTTTCACAGCTATGCAAATGGTTGACTGACCCGAACTGAAGTTGGGAACTTGCAGAATTCAGACCAAGAGAGCAGTGAGCAGACTTTGCTACGGATCACATTGATTCAGGAGAATTGAAAGCTTGTAGGCCCCCAGCAAAGCATTGTATAAATTCGAGCTGGTGTTGTTATTCTTACTATTATTAGTGAGGCTAGCCTGTGAGAATGAAGCATAAAAGGAGGAGATAGCCTGTTGAGATTGGGAAAGAACCAGTAGTACTGTGTAACTGGAATACAGAGTACACAAAAGACAGTAATAGGAAATAAATCTGGAAATATATGGAGGAACCTGATGGAGAAAAGTATTACGTGCCAGAATAAAAATTTGTATATTATTCCATAGGCAACAGGGAGCATTGACAGTTTGTGAGGGAGGAGTGACATGGTCAGAACTAGGGGTTAGGAATATTATTTTGGCAGCTCTGTGGAGGATAGATTTCAGAGTGGAGAGTCTGGATGCAGGGAAACCAGTTAGGAAGTAGGAAACTCTTACAATCATCTAAGCAAGTAGAGTCCGTGGGAATGGAGGAAAGGGGACAAATATGAGAGATGTTGGGAAGGAATTGACAAGATTTGGCAACTGATTGGTTCTGGAGGGGCAGTGATTGGTTGAGAAAACAAGGAAGAACCTAGGATAATGAAGCTAAGGTGGTTGTGATCCTGGGTGACTGGGAGAATGATAGTGGGCTCAATGGGAATAGGGAAACCTAAAGGAAGGAAAAGTTTCAGAGGTGGGCATAAAAAGTTTCTTTTTGGACATGTTGAGTTTGAGATACCAATGGTACATCCAATGGGGAAATCATAGTTTTTTGTGTATCTGTCCTTTTAATACTCCTTAAGCTCTTTGGTAGTAGGGTCTATGTTTTAGCTATCTTTGTATCTCCATTTGTCCCCAGCACAGGGTCTAACACACAGATGATTAATGGATATTTGCTAAATTGAAGTTGAATTAATTTCATTGCTGTACTAAGATTTTATCTTGCAAAGGAACTTAGGCCAGAGGGAAGGAGGCACTTACATTTGGTGGAGAAGGGAGAATTTTGAGCTTCTCCTATTCTTTCAGGAGAGTAATCATTTCCAACAGAAATGACACATACCCAAGGGGATCTGAGGAATTAAGGATGAACGTTGGCACCCTCAGTCTAAGAGGTAGGAAAAAACCAAATGATCAACTGAGGAATCAGGATTGACTCTTTGGGACTCTTACAAGGTTATGGAGTCTTTGTCTTCCAGGATACCTTGGATCTCCTCTCTACATTTCTTCTGGTGTTCTGGGTTCATTGCCAGGCAGTATAAGATCCAGGACAGTCCAGAGGCCAAGGTGTTATGGTTATTACACATGAATGTATTGATCTCGTCCATTATTTCTTCATCTGTAAAGCCTCCTCCCTCTGTGCCCTAAAACAGTCAAGAGTCTTCCTTTATTCAAAGCCAGTGTTATGGATTTGTTCTGTCAACCATCAGAATGACTGTAAGAAGAATCATAGCTTTAAAGGGAGAAGTCTCAAGTCATAACAGGCTCTGATTTCAGAACCCTATTGACTTTCTGAGACCTGCTGCTAACATTTCATCTAGTCCGCAAAACATGTTTATGTTTCCTAATGCTCTTTCCCTCCCTGTCCTCAATATGTTCCAATCCCCATCTTACCTGACTTGGGGTCCCAATGCTTTCTAAAACCAGCGCATCTTGGCACCATCTCTGGATGAAGCCCCAAACTTGGGTCACTTAGTCTAAGTGACTTCATGCACACAGAAATCTGTTGATGAAGACTCCACCTGTCCTCCCTTGCACTTCCCGGAGCACTGTCCTCACCAATTTAATGTCCTTTGTAATACTGCATATCACAATTACCTTCATCCTTCCCTTTACTAGACTTTGAGCATGAGGACACAGATTGCATTTTAATTAACATTGTACCTCCCCAAATGGCTAGCATAGTCTATATTACATACAACAAACACTTAATAAATACTTCTAAATGAAATTAATAAGGGAATGAGCTACATAGAGAAAGTGGTGAAATTAGATCAACCTTTTACCCCAAGTTTGGAATCTTCCTAGGGCTGCCAGTTTACTATTCAATCAAGTATTTCCCATTTCAGGCTTTCAGCCTGTTTGTCTGATTTCCCAAACAGCATAGTTTTCTAAAAGAATAGAAGTTTCTTGATGGCCTGGATTTTTTCATTTTTTTTTTTTTTGTGGGTTAGGCAGTGGGGTTAAGTGACTTGCCCAGGGTCACACAGCTAGTGTCAAGTGTCTGAGGTCAGATTTGAACTCAGGTCCTTCTGACTTCAGGGCCGGTGCTCTATCCACTACACCACCTAGCTGCCCCTTCTTTTTTGTTTCTGTGTCTCCAAGCGCCTGGACACACGAGGTAGGTATTTTGCTTCGAAGTTTTACAGGCTTACTTGGGCTTGGAAGAGAATGTCCAGTAAATCCCGGTACTTCTTCTTCTTTTGAATCTTGTTCTGCTTCTCTGGACTCTTGAGGGATGCCTTCCTATCCTGGAAGATTTTAGCTGTTTGGGAGGAGAGGGAAGAACATATTTCTATTACCTGGGAACCACGGATCCTGCCACTGACAAAGACCCTGAAAGACATCTGTGGAGCTGCTATGAGACTCAAGTCACTTTCCTATGTTGGTATCTGGCAGTGTCAGCCTCATAGAGACAATATAACCTAGCAAGCTGATACCCAGCTGCTTGAAAGACAATTAATTAGTGCCCTGGGTACTGCCTTTTCTTGATTTATTGTTAGCTATTTTAGGAGAATATTGTCAATTAGGCATAAGTTGGACTAAATACTTTGGAGGTCTCTTCCATATGGTTTGAAACATGAGTGACTGAGATCTATGATACTGCTAGTGTGAGAAACAGACAAGTTGGGAAGAAAAGCAGGTTTTGGAGTCAGCGTGTAGGAAAGTTGTAGGCCTGGTTCTAATGCTAGCACACTCTTGTTTCAGGTTCAGTGTTGGGATGAAGTGAGGCATTTGCAAGTCACTGAACATTTAACGAAAGAGGTTTACTTTGCTGTTAACACAGCAAGGATACAATGGCACTTAGCCACTGTATTTCGATGTACTTCCCACCCCTCACCATCACCTTTTGAAAATGCATCTGGTCAGTACATCATCAGGGTATGGCCACTCATATGGTCTCAGGCACCGACCAAGTTCCAGGGGCCCCTCCTTTCCTCTGGTTGGAGAGGGCAGGAACTTTCATTTCAAGAGGACACTTAAGGCATTCACCTCATAATTTCTACTGGCTACTCCCCTGGCCTTTTGAATTTCCAGAAGTTCATCATTCTGAAAGATACTGCCTCTCAGAATCCATAGCTTTCTCTAAGTCTCTCCTCAGGGAACACATCTTACATGAGCCCCTCCCTAATTCTCCCGATTTGTTAGTATTTCCCCACATACCCCACTCAATGAATTTGTCTGTAATTTTTAGGTCAACGAATGCTTTGCATTCCCTGCCCCTCTTCCCTAATAAGCTCTTCAAGATCGGGGACCATTATCCTTCCTTTCTTTGAACCCATAGAGCCTGGTTTATAGAAAGTACTTAATATATTCTTGTTGTATTGAATTGCATTGAGTATCCCAGCCAATTATAGCATCATGGATCTAGAATTAGAAAGACCTGAGGGGCTTCCTAGAACACTCTTTTCATTTTACAGTTGAGGAAATGGAAGCCTAGGGATGTTAAGTGTCTTGTCAGAGGGCACATAAGTAGTTCGTCAGAGTCAGGAATTGAACCCAGATTCTATGACTCCAGGAGCACTGGGTCACACCAAACAGTAGTGGGACATGAACCAGAGGGCATCCATGGCTAGGCCATGTCTCAGGAAATACCAGATTGCTTCTTTACTTCTTGGCAGAGAGCTTGAAACTCCTGGCAGGCAGGGCTCAGCTTATAAATGAAATCACTGTAATAGAAGAAGGTGTGAAGGCACTCATAGATGCAAGATGAGATTTTGGATATATTCTGGAGGTAGGTGGTCGAGAAGCTGCAAGAAGAGAAGATACAATGTGTTACCAAGGGCTAGGGTGGTGGTCAGTACTTGGTCTTCACCCTAGGTCCCCGTTGGCACTGACCTTTTTTCCTTGCAGAAATCTTGGACACTGAATATACACTTCAGGATACTGTCCAAAGCCATTAAAGAGAGAGACTGGTAGATGTCCATGGAACTATCCTCAGTTCTGAGTTTTCCCCATTCATCCTGGGAGAGAAGATCTGCATTATACAGCTATTCAAGAACCCTTTTTTTTTGCTTATCTATTTGCACATGGTATTGTTCTCTGTCTCTGTCTCTTCCCCTCCTCCTCTTTCTCCCCTCTGGATTTGACTACTGGATCTGCAGCTTACTCATGTGCTCGTGGACAAAGGATTTTACCTTTATATTTCTATTGTAATAGATTTATTAGGATATTATATGAACAATACTATATAAATTTAATAAAGGTACTGTATGTTAATATATTCAGTAATTACAAATATTTTATTCTAATAAAAACTTTTTAGCATGAGTTTTAGATTTCTTATTTATTCCCTCCTTATTATCAACTCTATAAGGAAGATTCTGGCTGTATTGTTATCACCATCTGTAAAATAGGGATAATAATACCTGTAGTATGTTCCTTACAGAATTGCTGTGAGGTTCCAGTGAAACAAAGCACTGTAGGTATCACAGAAACTCAGAGTTTGAAGGGAACATTCTATTAGGCCAATTAGTCTAGTCTTTGCTGGCACCTCCATCTTTATCTCTGTTAAATGTTCTAGCAGGGGCAGCCAGGTGGTGCAGTGGATAGGGCACCGGCCCTGAAGTCAGGAGAACCTGAGTTCAAATCCGGCCTCAGACCAAACACTTGACACTTGCTAGCTGTGTGACCCTGGGCAAGTCACTTAACCCCAATTGCCTAAAAAAAAAATTCTAGCACACTGCTGGACACAGAAGCAGATACTTCTCCCTCACTCTATGGTTGTCGAACACCTTGTGGGGGCCTTGGGCAGCCTGTTCCCTCACCAGCATCGTGCAGATTGAGTCCTTTATTAGGTAGAAGTAGTCATTCATGACGTTGAAGTGGAAGGCTGTGGTCATCAGGCGCCGGTGGTGATGCCAAGTCTCACCGTGCAGGAGCAACAGGCCGTTTCCTTAAGAGACAATAGCAATTCTAACTGGGTTACACCAAGGACATCACTGTCCAGGCTAGGCAAAAATGTCACTATTTCCTTGGGGTTTGCCCCTGTGCAGATATTCCCTCTTCTCCTTCTTGCTCCCCTTAATATTTTTTTCTTGCCTTGTTAGAAGGTAGGGATAGTGTTGTTTTCTTGTTTACTAAGCACTTAATTAATATTTTATCCATCCATTTATCATCAATCTATTCTACTGATAGCCTCTTCCCTATCCACAGCTATATCTGTATCATCTATATTTATATCTATCTTTTTTTTGCAACACCCACCCCTACACACACAAACACAAATACACACACACATAAATGTGTCTATACGTACACATTTCTGTCTGTCTTTCTGCCATGACTTTTGTTACTGCTATATAAATTGCTGTTAATTTTTGTGGGTTTCTTTTGTATCCTACTATTTTATTGAAGGTATTATTTCAGATTCTCTGCTGGTTTTCTGGAGTTTTCTGTCTAGATTATAATGTGATTAATAAACAGAGATAGCTTTTCTCCTCTTTTAATATGATTATGCCTTTATTTTTCTCCTTTAATTTCTTTTCCGTAATGCTATTACTAACATCTTGCCCATGGATTTCAATGACTCTGGAGGAGAGGGTGAAGCTGATTTAAATCCAATCCATGCATGAGTCAAGACTTCACCCTTATGATGTCACTGGTCCTCTTTAAGAACAAAGGTCAAACCACCAACAGCAACAATAACAGCAACAACAATTCTATCACTGTGTCAAACAACAGTGGGGAAAGAGGATATCATCGCTTTACCCTTGTATTTATTGGGAAATTTCTAGTATTACCCCACTGCATAGAATGCTTTCAGTTTTACATGTATACATTTTAAGTAATATTTTTAAAAGTCCTTCTATGCCTGTGCTTTGTAGTGTTTTGTTTTGTTTTTTAGCATGAATTGGTGTTATGCTTTGTCCAGTACTTTTTTCTGTATTTTTTAAAAAATCAATGCAGTTTTGGTTATTTTTAATGATTACGTATTTTGTTTTATTATTCTGAAACATCCTTGTATCCTTGATATAAATCCAAATTAATCATAATTACTGTCTTTTTAAGATTGCTGTAGACATTTTGCCAAGATTTCATTTAAAATTTTTGAATCAATTCATTAATGCTGTTGGCCTATAGCTCTCTTTTTTTTTCTTTCATCCTTCCCTGATAAAGGTCTCAGGATTATATGTGTCTCGTAGAATGAGCGCGGTAAAATGTTTTCTTTCTAGATTTTTGAGAATAACTTGAATAGTAGAAGGCTGCACAGTCCTTTAAATGTATAATTGAATCCACTTCTTTATTCATTTGGACCAGGAGTCTCCCTTCCCTTATAGCTGGTTCAATTTGTTTTCCTGCAGTTGGATTATTTAATGTTTCTATTTCCTATCCTATTAATATGTTATTTTATATCTGTTGTGGATATTCCTTCATTTCTTTTAAATTCTCATCTTCATTGATACATAGTTTGTGATAGTATGGCCCAATAATTTTTTCCCATTTTTTTCTGTTGTGATTTTCCCTCATTCTTTTTTTTTTGGAACAGGTCATTTGATTTTTCCTAAACTTCTTTTAAATCAGTTTATCAAAGGGCTAATCAATTTTGTTACAATCAGCTTTTAGCTTAATGAATTTCTATATACTTTTTTGTTTCCAATTTGTCTTTTTCTCCTCTTTTTAATTTTTCTATTTTAATTTTTACTTGGGGTTTGTTAATCTGTTGGTTTCATATTTTAATACTATATATTCAGTTCATTAACCCTGTCCTTTTCCATTTTGCTAACACATGCTTTCAGAGATATGATTTTTCTTTTGAGGACTTCTTTAGCAGCATCCCAGGAATTCAGGCATAGTCATTTGTTCTCATTCTCTATCATAGTTTTTGTTTCTATGATCTGTTCATTGGTTTACTTATTATTCATTACTCTGACTCTTAATACTACTCCATTCATATACCAAATTTCACCATTAGCCACATGTACTCCACTTAATTAAAAATCTGACCTTTTTCTATCCAGTTATAACCTATCATTCAACTGGGCCCTCACTCTCGCAAGGCAGCACTTTTATTCCTCCCTAATTTATTTCTTATCAAAATCCCCACAAAAATATTTTAAACCTCTCCTCAAGCATTCCACACTTTCCTCTTTGCCATCTCCCTTTCCAGATGAGGACCTTGCCCCTTACATTACAGAGAAAATTAAGACCATTCAGTAGGAGCTCCCTTCCCTCCCTTTCTTTTCATCTCAAAATTTTTGATATCAGCTGTCCATGCTGACAATGAGATTGGCTTTTTGTTTGCCAAAGCCCAAACCTCCATATGTGCCTTTGATCCCGTGGCCTTACATCTTATGAATTGTACTTATCCCCAATCATGTTCCATTTCTCTAAACTTCAACCGCTCCCTTATCTACTGATTACTTCCCTAATGTTTCCACACATCCTCCTCCCCTCCATCCTTAAAAAATAACCAAACAAAAAAAACTTTACAAGACCCTGTCATCCATTCAAACTTAATTTCTCCTTTTTTTTTCAGCCACATACCTAGAAAAAGCTGTCTATATTAACTGCTTCAATTTCTTCTCCTCTCATTCATTCCTCAGCCCTTTGCAGTCTGGTTTCTAATCTCATCAGTTGAATGAAACTGCTCTTTCCAATCTTCTCTTACTTGCCAAACCTAAAATTCTTTTCATGGTTCTAATCCCTCTCATTCTATTGCATTTGACACTGGCAACCATCTTTTCCTCTCTGGGTTTCCACAATAACATCGTCTCCTAGGTCTTCTCCTACCTGTCTAACCACTCATCAAGTTCTCTTCTTGGATCATCAATCATACTCTACCCCTCCCCCTCTGACTATGGTTGTTCCCAAGACTCTGTTCTAGGCCCTCTTCTCTTATCTCTCTATAACTTTTGGTAACTTCATCAGTTCCATGGATTTAAATATCATCTCTGTGCATATGGCTAACTCATAGATTTATGTATGCATCCTGTTTCCTCTCTGAACTTCAGTTTTGCATTCATTACCAGGACACTGCAAATCGAATGTCTCAGAAACATCTCAAACATATGTCCCAAACTGAACTCATTGTTTGTCACCCCAACTCCATACTTGCTAACAAACTTCCTATTATTGGAATATATCTCATCAGCCTTGGTACGGGATCTCATCACTACCCTCTGCCTCTCTGATTGGAGGGTGGGGTCATGACCTTTAAACCTCCATTTAAGGAGAGACCTCAGTTCAGACATCTCATTTTTCACCTGTCTGCACTACTTTGGGACTTCTCTGACTGACTTCATCATGCCTCCTCTTCTTCTCTCCTTTCCCTTTCAGCTTCCTCATGTGTTTGTCTTCCCCAATTAGAGTGTAAACTCCTTGAGGGCAGGGACTCTTCTCTCACATTTGTTGTTGCTGTTTATTTGTTTCAGTCATGCCCAACTCTTTGTAACCCCATTTGGGGTTTCTTTGTCAAAGATACTAGATTAGTTTGCCATTTTCTTCTCCAGCTCATTGAACTGAGGCCCACAGGGTTAATTGACTTACCCAGGGTCTCACAGCCATTAGATATCTGAGGACAGATTTGAATTCATGAAGAAGAGTCTTCTTGACACCAGGCTTTGCACTCTATGCAGTATGGTGCCACCTAGCTGCACCACCTAGATGCTCCTGGATCCTACTTTTTCAATTTCTCCCAGATGCTAGCTCTCACCACTCCAGAAATTACTTTGAATTTAGTTTATATATTTTTAGATGGGTATACATTGTTTTCCTTGGGTTTCTAAACTTATTTAAGGTTACTTATTGGAAGCTTAAGCAGGGACTAGGTTTTCATTTTTGTTTTTTCTTTGTATCCCCAGCACCTAGCACCATACCTAGCAAACAGTGGGTTTGTTAGATTTGTTTTGTTAGATTGGTTTGTTAGAATTCAGGTTTGTTAGATGAAATTGATTGAACATCACTTCTTAACTTCTATGGCATACTGTTGACCCACACAGAGAAGAATAAACTGATCACAGATACTTACCAAGCCAGAGGATTAAGAATTTGTAGTTCACCGGGCATTTTAAATCTGTAAAGTTAAGCAAAAGGGCAGAAAAAGCTCGCATTATGTGGAAACTGTACTGGATAAAATCAGAGGGGGAAGGGGCAGCTAGGTGGCGCAGTGGATAGAGCACTGGCCCTGGATTCAGGAGGACCTCAGTTCAAATCCAACCTCAGACACATAACACTTACTAGCTGTGTGACCCTGGACAAGTCACTTAACCCCACTGCCTAACCAAAAAAAAATCAGAGCGGGATTGTGTGGACCTGCATAGAGCTGGGTACTAAGAAGCACAAAACACAAGCAAGAATAACGTAGCATTTCACAGGTAAGGAGCAGCACCCTGGGAAACCACAGCTGCTTCCTTGGGTACATGACAGAGCAGATGAGGTGAAAAGACAAAAACAAATCTTTGAGTCGTTGCTTATTCCTTCCCACAAGTTATAGGGAGGATCTCAGCCTACAGCGCTATCTGGAATGGGGCTCTCATCATATGATGAGACAACGAAGTCTCAGTCTCACAGGGACTAAGTGTCAGAGAGCCAGAAGTGTAGCCCGGCGTTTCTGCCTCACCATCCAGGGCCCTGGGTCTATTGTGTGAGGCTGAGTCAGGCTGGAGTCCTATCCTTGGAGCAGCTGTAGGAAGACCAGCTTCCTACAGCCTACCTGGAGGTTGAGTGGGGTGGGGTGGACAAGAAATAATAATAGTTCCCTCTGACATTTAGGTAGATTTTCAGCTTACAAAGTGCTCTATGGATGCTCTTTCATTGGTGTTCCCAATAAGCCTGTGAGGGAGGTTCTTGGGGAGCCAGAGATGGGTTGTCTTAGGTTATCGGTTTAGTAGTGGTTTGGATAGCGACTGGGGTGGGGCATGTGACTGCAGGATTGTCTAGGAGTGGTTTCCCTTATGAAAGGAACATGGGACTTTGAGCTATTTATAGGCACGAGGAGGCAGGAATTGGCAGTTAGGGTCTAGACCTCTGATTTCATCTGTTTCATGGCACCCAGAATATCTGGGAATTGAAAGAGAGCTCAGTGGCATCATATCCAACCCATATACAAAAGGAATCTCCACAAGAACATGCTTCATAAGTTGTCTTTTTACTTCTGTTTAGAGAGCTCTAAGGACGGGGAAGCCACCAGATCTTGAGGCAGCCTATTTTGATCTAGGACAGCTCTCCTTGTTAACAAGATTCTCCTGACATCAAGGTCAAGTTTAACCCCACCCCAGACCCCACTATAGCTCCTGGATCTGCCTTCTGGGATCAACCCAGTTTAATCTCTCCTTCACATGACAGTCCTTTAAACTCTTGATCAGCTATAATGCTCCTCTTGGTGTGGAAATTTCTTCATGGATGTATGTCAGTCTCTATTCTGCAATTTCTAATCTTACAAGGTTGTCTGTAGCTCTGACAAGTGAAGCAGCTTGTACAGTTACCTAGCTAAGTATGTGTTAGAGATAGATCTTTAATCCAGGACTTTCTGCCTCCAACACTGTCCCTCTATCCATTACCATCTGAAATACAAAATAGTGCATATCTAAAAGTTATTTTTGTGTTCTTTAAAAATCACAATTACAAACTGGAAATGAAATTGGTGCCATCAGTCAGTGGAAGAGCTCATAGTACATCAATGTAATATAATACAATTATATCATAAGAAATCACAAATGTGAAAGATTTCAGAGTAACTTGGGGTGACTTGAATGAAATGATGCAGAGTGAGAGGCAGCAAGGTAGTGCAGTGCTGGATTTGGAGTCAGAAAGACCTGGATTCAAATCCTATCTTAGACACTTACCAACTGTGTGACCCTAGGCAAGTCCCTTAACCACATTCAGTCTCAGTTTCCTCATCTGTAAAATGGGAATAATAATAACACCTACCTTTTAGGGTTGTAGTGAGGATCAGATGGGATAACATATGGACAGTGCTTTGTAAACTTTAAAGTGCTATATAAATCCTAGCGATTATTACTAACAAGCAGCAGAATGACCATAACAACATAAAAGGAAACAACTGTGAAAGACTCTGATCAATGCAGTGAAACTAACCACAACTTCAGAAGACTCAGAACAAAACCTGATTCCTACCTTTCAGCCAAGTGGTAATGAATTAAGGTTCACGGGCGTTTCCAGACACAGACAACATTTTGATTTGGTGGAGAGTGATAAAATTCCCTCCCTGCCATCCCCCAAAGAGAGAAGATAAAGAAGAGTGTTTAAGAAACATTTAAAAACACAAAAAAAGAGAAAGAAGTTTACATGGTAGCACAGACGAGCAGGACAATTTTAGTCCTACTGTGTTAAAGTTAGAGTTTAAAGAATTATAAACTCTTCATAACAGAAATTCATAGATCCAAATATGTTTTTCCATTCTTCTTTGTATATGCAATGTTAATGTTTGTTAAGTTCATAATTTAAAAAAAAAGAAAATTTAAAGAAAAGAGTCATGGGTGTACGTGGTGGAAAATAGAAGGAAAGGGAAGTTGGGAGAGAAGATCCAGTGAAGAGAGATTGGAGGGGGTTAGGGAGATATGACATTTAATTTAATTTAAAAAGAGGAAAGACGGGTTGATACTGAAAAGAATAGAAAAAACACAGGTGGAATTGGTTGTGCAGGAGAAGGTTTTGGTGAAATGTTCGTTTTCCTGTGGGATTTACAGAAAGCTTTCTTGAAAGACAAGGAGGCCTCCTAAAGTAGCACTTAGTGATGTAACCATCATAAAATAACCCATAAATCTGGGAACTATTATTTGCACCGAAAGAGTGATGAAATCAACACAGGGGAAGGAGTGTTATAGTAGTAAAAGCAGATAGGGCTGTCTGGTGTGGCATGTTGAAAAAGATTTTGGAAAATAAGCAGAGCAGGTAACAACCAGGTGATTACAAGTATGGGAGTCACCAGCTAGGTTTGGGACCTTAGAACCTCAGAGTCTGAAGAGGCCTCAGTAAACAGCTCGTCCCATTTCCCAACCCTCCCCCAAAGCTGTGCTCTACAGGACACACTATGGAACTGGGTAGGATGGTATCTGTGACAACTTGGATTAAACATCCCTTAATACCATTTACTGACCTTGACTCTTATTCTATGCTCTCCCATTCACCTTCTTTTGACTAAGTTGGGCTTTTCAGCTTCTTTGATACCAAGCAGTAGGTGGTCCGGATGAAGGACATGGGGTGATAGCATTGTAGGACTATGAGCTGTAGTGTTCAATGCACCCAGAGGCCATTTCATTTTAAAGATTAAGGAATGAGGCACAGACAGTTTAGGTGACTTGTTCAAGGATAGACAGACATATGGGTTGTATCACTGGCAAGCTAAAGGTACCTTGTCAATTCAAAAATTATCATCTTGGTTTCATCAGGCCACTGAAATCCCAGGGAGTCTCATGATCTCTGGAAAAGGGGAGGGAAAGGTGATGATAAAAGAGAAGCATCTGAGCAGGGAGGACAGATCCCCAAGACCTTTAGAATGTCTAGAAGACATCTGGGTAAAGCTACAAAATGAGCTGGCTTGTGCCTGTAAACCTACTGGGGAGCCTCAAGTCAGCCTGAGGGAGGGCAAGGAAGCTGCCTTTCAGTCCATCGCTCTCAAAAGTCAAGGACATACTCAGACTGCCCTTACTTCCCTTAAAGACCTAATAAAGATTTCTCTTCTTTTCTTTGCTCTATATCCTTTGTGACCCTATCTGAGACTGGCCCAATTCATCCAGGGGATGATGAGGTCCATGGAGTCACTCAAGGTAAAGAAAAACTTCCTGACAATTGGTGCTAACCCGAAGTGTTGTGGGAGGCCTTGGGAGTTTTGCAAGCGGGTACAGGTGTCTCTTTGTCTGATACATTGATGGAGGGATGGAGGGAGGGAGGGAATAAATATTTATTTAGTTCCTACTATACACTGTGCTAAGTGCTTTACAAATATTATCTAATTTGATCCTCACAACAATCCTGGGAGGTAGATGCTATTATTATTTCCATTTTATAGTTAAAGAAAGTGAGGCAAACAGAGGCTAAGTGACTTGCCCAGGTCACATGGCTGGATTTGAATCTAGGTCTTCCTGACTCCAGGCCTAGCATCCTACCCACTGTACTCCTTAGCTGCCTCAGAGGATGGGTATGATTAGATGTTTTCTCAGGTCCCTTCTAGCTCCAGCCTTCCAATCTTCCAATATGTCTTCCAATATTTTGTGAAGTAAGATGACTCATCTTTACCTTTTCGATTCAGGAACGTCTTCACATATTCTGGGTCATAGATATGTAATACTGCATGAAAGGGTCCAACCCAAAAAGAAAAAGCACTGGGGTATTTTTTGGGCAGCTCCTTGAACATCTCTAGTTCTTCCAGGTTACACTGCAACAAAGAAAAGCAAAAAGTGAGTTGGGACAGTGAATCCCAACATCTTCCCTCCTCAACTCCCAGACTCCAGGCCCTGGGAGCCCTATAATGAGCTTAGGGATCTTTGGGAGGGCAATGGAAACATGGAAAGACAGAACCTCTAAAGTGAGAAGAGGGACCTGAGAAGTATCTACTCCCACCCTCATCTGAGCAAGGATCCCTTCTACTGTGCCCTTGATATGTGCTTATCCAACCCTCCCCTTGGAGATTCAGGGTGGAGAGAGATTGCAGGTCCAGGCCATTGCCTTCTGGACAGCTCTATCTTCACTTAATCTTAATGTCTCATGAGCACATCTGACTCAAGAGTTCCAAAACAATTTTCCCCAAACCCATCCCCTCCTCCTAAACTTGCTCATTTCTGCATCTTTGCAAACTTGGAGTGACCCTTTATTCTTCCCTTTCTTCAACCCTCTCATACAACCCATTTGCAAGTCTTGTCAGCTCTATCTCCATAATATTTCTCCCACTGCAATCATACAGTCTTTGCCTTTACCCTTTGACCTCATCACTTCTCGCCTGGACTAATTCAATAGCCTCTGAATGGAGGCTCTAATCTCCATGTGGGAGCTATTAGTCAACTTCTAGTTTCTTTTCTCTTTAATCCATCTTATATAGAGCTACTAGACGATTGGTTGGTTGGTTGGTTGTTGTCCTTCATTCTCAAAGAGGACCCAAATAACATCACCATGTTGGAGTCAAGATACAGTGTGTCTGACTATGGCTGATCAGACCTATATGATCTTGGAAGGTTTTTACCACAGGTCGGGCACAAATAGTCCACATGAATATTTGGAGTGGAGATATCTCTAAATTTATGTTTCTAGCTTTTGAGCTACTGTAATTCTGCTTTACTCATAGAGCAGAGTGCCATCTTTGATGTGGCCACGCCATGCTGAGTGGTCTTTTGCCACTGTCTCCCATGTTTCACAATTGATTCCAAAGATCCTAAGCTGCTAGATAAGTATTCCCAAAATTGTGATCTGGACAGATCACACCACTCCCCTCCCCCAGAATGTATGGAGAGGACTTAGAGGCAGTGCATGTGTGTGGCTGTAGATGTTTAGAAGTAAAGGGAAGAATATAAAAACAAAAGCCATTGCCTTACAGGTAAGCGATCAAGCAATATGAATAATGTCTCAAAAGAAGAATTGCAAACTTGACTGTTGTCCTTTGTTCTTCAAGAGGGCCAAAATGACATTGCTATGTTGGAGTGAATGCACAATATGTCTGGTTTTGGCTGATCAGACTAATATGAGCTCAGAAGGCTCTACCACAGATCAGGCACAAATAGTCCACATTTACATTTGGAGTAGAGTTGTCTCTAAATTTGCACATCATGGTTTTTTTTTTGAGCCAAATCTCTGAAAGCTGCCCACTCTTTTCCCACTCCACTGTTGTTAACTGTGTATTGGCTCAGCTTTCCCTTCAAGTTAGCAATGAACTGTTCCCACTCAGTGAAGTGCTCTAATCTGTTAACATTAAGTCTTCTTGGTAGTCATTTTGCCTTGGGGCTACCACTTTTGTTGAATGTGAATATTTAGATTGGAGAAGATGAGTGTATGATTAGTCAGTGCTCTCACCACACATAGCCTTCATCACTGTCACAGCCTGTCTTTCTCTTCCACTTACCATGAAATAGTCTATTAAATGTCAATGTTTGCTGTGAGGGTGCAACCACAAAGTTATGCTGCGTTTAGACAAACAGAAGACAGTGTTGGTTTTCAGTGATGTTGGTGTTGGCAGATGAGACAGTCATAATATGCACAAGTCTTCAGTAGCAAGTGATCATTGCTACTGTTTTCTTTCTTTCTTTTTCTTCTTGATAATTAATTTATTTTTAGCTTTCAACATTCACTTCCATAAGATTTTGAGTTTTAAATTTTCTCCCTCTCCCATTCCTCTCCTTCCACCCAAGATGGCATGCAATCTGATACAGGCTCTACTTATACATTCATATTAAGCATATTTTCCCATTAGTCATGATGTAAAGAACAATTAGAACAAATGAAAGGAACCACGAGAATGAAGCAATAAAACAAAACAACAAAGGAAAAGGAGAGCAAATAGTATGCTTCCATCTGCATTCAGACTCCATAGTTGTTTCTCTGGATGTGGATAGCATTTTCCATCATGAGTCTTTTGGAGTTGTCTTAGATTCTTACATTGCTGTGAAGAACCAAGTCTGTCAAAGTCAGTCATTTCATAATATGGCTGTTACTGTGTACAATGTCCTCCTGGTTCTGCTCATTTCACTCTGAATCACTTCATGTATGTTTTTCCAGGTTTTTTTGAAGTCTGCCTGCTCATCATTTCTTATAGCACAATAGTATTCCATTACATTCATTTACCACAATTTGTTCAGCCATTCCCCAATTGATGGACATCCCTTCAATTTCCAATTCTTTGCCACCACAAAAAAAGCTGCTATAAATATTTTTGTACATGTGAGTCTTTTCCCAATTTGAACATTTCTTTGGGAGACAGACCTAAAAGTTGTATTGTTGGATCGAAGGATATGCACAATTTTATAGCTCTTTCGGCATAGTTCCAAATTGCTCTCCAAAATGATTGGATCATTTCACAACTCCACCAACAATGTATTAGTGTTCCAATTTTCCCACATCTTCTCCAACATTTATCATTGTCCTGTTTTGTCATATTAGCCAATCTGATAAGTGTGATGTGGTACCTCAGGGTCGTTTTGATTTGCATTTCTCTAGACAATAGTGATTTAGAACATTTTTTCATATGACTATAGATAGCTTTAGTTTCTTCCTCTGAAAATTGCCTGTCCATATCCTTTGATTATTTATCAATTGGGGAATAACTTGTATTCTATATATTTTAGAAATGAGGACTTTATCAGAAACACTGGTTGTAAAAATTCTTTCCCAGTTTTCTGTTTCCCTCCTAATCTTGAATGTATTGGCTTTGTTTGTCCAAAAACTTTTCAATTTAATGTAATCAAAATTGTCCATTTTGCATTTCATAGTATTCTCTATCTCTTGTATGGTCATAAATTCTTCTCTTCTCCATAGATCTGAAAGGTAAACTATTCCTTGCTCTTCTAGTTTGCTTATAGTATCAGTCTTTATATCTAAATCCTGTACCCAATTTGACTTTATCTTGGTATAGGGTATAAGATGTTGGTCTATGCCTAGTTTCTGCCATACATTTTTCCAGTTTTCCCAGCAGTTTTTGCTAAATAGTGATTTCTTATCCCAGAAGCTGGAGTCTTTGGATTTATCAAATAGTAGATTAGTATAGTCATTGACTGTTGTGTTTTGCATAACTAACCTATTCCATTGATCCACCTCTCTCTTTCTTAGTCAGTACCAAGTAGTTTTGATGATTGCTGCTTTATAGTACAATTTAAGATCTGGTACAGCAAGGCCACCTTCCCTTACATTTCTTTTCATTAGTTCCCTTGATATTCTGGACTTTTTATTCTTCCAGATGAATTTTGTAATTGTTTTTTCTAGCACTATAAAATTACTTTTTGGTATTTTGATTAGTACGGCACTGGATAAGTAAATTAATTTAGATTGAATTGTCATTTTCATTATATTAGCTCGGCCTGCCCATGAGCAACTGATGTTTTTCCAATTATTTAGATCTGACTTTATTTGTGTGAAAAGCATTTTGTAATGGTGTTCATATAGTTCTTGGGTTTGTTTCAGCAAGTAGACTCCTAAATATTTTATAATGTCTACAGTAACTTTAAATGGAATTTCTCTTTCTACCTCTTGCCGTTGGGTATTGCTGGTAACATGTAGAAATGCCAATGGTTTGTGTGGGTTTATTTTATATCCTGCAACTTTGCTACATTTGTTTATTATTTCAAGTAATTTTTTACTTGATTCTCTAAGATTCTCTAAGTATATCATCATATCATCTGCAAAGAGTGATAACTTTGTTTCTTCTTTGCCTATTCTAATACCTTCAATTTCTTTTTCTTCTCTAATTGCTAAAGCTAACATTTCTAATACCATATTGAACAACAGTGGTGACAATGGACTTCCTTGTTTCACCCACAATCTTATTGGAAATGTTTCTAGCTTATCCCTATTACATATAATGCTTGCTGGTGGTTTTTGATAGATGCTATCTATCATTTTAAGCAAGACTCCATTTATTCCTATGCTCTCCGGTATTTTTAGTAGGAATGGGTGTTGTATTTTGTCAAATGCTTTTTCTGCATCTATTGAGATAATCATATGATTTCTGTTAGTTTTGTTGTTGATATGGTCAATTATGCTGATAGTTTTCCTAACATTGAACCAGCCCTGCATTTCTGGCATGCTATTGCTGTTTTCAGCTCCATTCCTCCCAAGGACTTCCTGCCATATCTGATAGTCTGTGCTTACTCTTGCATTAAAGTCACCCAGAATTATAAGCTTGTCTTCTTTTGGCACATTGATGATGAAGGTCTCCAGGTCTTCATAAAAATTTTTTTCATCTCATCAGAGTTCATCATGGTGGAGCAGAATCACTGATGATGGTGGCATGGTGCTTTCCTGCAAGTGGCAGTCACATTGTAATGAGTCTATCATTCACTCCTTTTGGGAGGCATGCAAGCTTGGTGACTAGATTAGTTTTAATTGAAAAGCCTACACCAGCTTCACAGCACTCCCCTTCACTGTGGCCATTCCAGAAAAATGTGTATCCAGCTCCCACTTCGATACCCTAGACTTCATTTGCTAGCCTTGTTTCATTCAGAGCTGATGTTTGGATATGATACCTGTTGAGTTCTCTCACAACAAGAGCTGTTCTTCCTGCAGGTCTACTGGATTTCACATTGTCCATAAGTATGTACACATTCCATGTACTGATAGTGAGTGGAATCATCTTTGCAAAAGTTTTTGTACATTTTTTGTGTGTTTTGACCACAGGGGTGGTATCTCTACCTACCATGGTAAGCAGGAGAGGGTTGGGTGACAGAGACAATTTTTACA